ATAATATTTATTAATATTTGGGGGATATCACAAGTTTCCAAAAGCACCGTGCCCACCTCGAAGAATAATCTTCACTGGCTAACCATTGCCCTGCCCCCTTACCGACTTCCGTTGTAGAGAAGGATTACAGCCTGGGGTACTAAGCGGACGCAGGCGCACGTGGTGGTGACGAACATTACGCTGCAGGCACCCGCAATGGGCACCAGAGAAGGAAAAATGCAAAATGAGAAACTAAATTTGGCTGCCCTCTGTGAAATGGTATGCTATGCAGGGCCTGGAATTTTGCTCTATTTTGGTGTGAGTTTGACCCAGCTGCTATAGAATGCCACGTGGTACGGTTGAGTGTGCAAAGCCAAACCGACCAATTTGGTGGTGGTGCGTCCATACTATGCAGGGAAAATACTTGGTGTGAGTTTGATCCAGTTGCTATAGATTGCCACGTGGTACGGTTAAGTGTACAAAGCCAAACTGACCAATTTGGTGGTGGTGCGTCCATACTATGCAGGGAAAATACTTGGCCTGGAACTTGCCTTTATTAATAGACTTGACCAGCATCTTGCATTTATTTTGGTGTGAGTTTGATCCAGTTGCTATAGATTGCCACGTGGTACAGTTGAATGTCCGAATAAAAGAGAAAGTGCAGTACTAGTACATGTTATTCCCACCTTGTGGCTGTAGGATAAATACATCACAAGGAATTCACGAAAGAAAAAAGAATAAAATCGGCACATCACTGGTCGGTCACGTTACTTTGCCCTTCTTTACACATGTTTTCTCTAAGGGAGGGCAATGACTCAAACTATGGCCATAGGAAGGGGTCACTTGATCACTGAATCCCATAGGTATGGCAACAATGCCCTCGGTGTTCCCCCATATTCCCGGCTACGCTACCAATCACTGGGATGCGGGGACACGATGTGGTTCGCGGACATGATGTTGCAGGGACAAGATGTTGCGGGGAAACGATGGTGCGGGGACAGGATGGTGCGAGGGTAGGATGGAGCGATGGCAGGATGAAGAGACGGCAATGGCACATCACTGCACGGAGCTATATTAGCTACTGTCATTGACAGGTCACTTTTTCTTTGAGATATGACTGGTCACTTTGGATATCCGGATAAACTTGTATCCGGTACTAGTATGTCTATTGATATTAATAGTATCATCTACTTCGAAGTACTAAGCATTATCTAGTAGTACTACTATACTACTACTATACTGGGAGATGATTGAGTTGGTGTTTGTAACGTGGTACCTCTTTGGTCTATTCAGCTACGGCTTTGTGTTCGTCAGCCTTTTATTGGTTTTTTCCCTCGTTACCCTGTAACAAGCTTCCTACAGTATCTCAACAGCTACTCCCCAGATTCAGAAAGTTTTGATTCCCAATTTATAGAGGTTTATAATTTATTACAGGAAATTGGGCTATCTTATCTCACAAGTGATGTTCCGAAAACTCTATTATAGGGAGGGAGAGTCAATATACTGAGTAGGAATTATCGATCTGCTTTTGCTTTTCGATCACTTTTGAAAAGCAAATTTATATTCAACGGTATTTTAATAAGGACCAACGAAAAGCAAAGGAGAATCAATATAGAAACAATATACATATCCGTATCCGCGTTGGCGAAAAGTGGTGGTTTCGGTGTATCCGAAACTGAGTTTTTGGAATAGTTCTCTGTGAAATTCAACCCTCAAGCAACCAGTCGTACCGATAAACCTAGTCAGTGTTGAATATGCTCCAGTAGTCAGCCTTTAACACTACCCACCGCATTCACCAGCTCGTACGTATCCAACCCAAACACTTTCCGCGACGCAACTTGCCATCGTTTTGTAACGGCTGAGCGCACAGCCTGCACTTGTATCGAGGCTCTTTGCATCGTGCTGCGCCGTTTTGCTGTTCCGGACCGGTGGTCGGTCTTCATGGCGATGTTTGGCCGCTCTTGCAGCTGCCTATGCAACATTTACCTCCACACCCTCGACCTTATCCACCACAAGTTCCGTGACGCGATATTCCTCGACTTCAACCGGATTCGCACCAAGTTGGTGTCCTTTAGCCAAGCGGGATCGTCGACAAGGGTGGCGAGGTGCACAATGTGTGGGCGCTCATTGATGGGACTGTTCGTAAGTGTTGTCACCCTGGCGGATATGAAAGGCAGTGATCCGTGTTTAACGGGCACAAGAGACGTCACGCAATCAAGTTTCAAACGTTGGTTACCCCCGATGGCGTCATTTCATAAGCGTTTGGCCCAATCGAAGAACGCCACCATGACCTTACCATTTTGCGGCCATCGAACCTGGAGAAAGCCAATTAAGCCAATGGTGGTTTTGAGGGCTACATCATTTATGGGGACCCTGGGTACGGCTACTCCAATCAATGGGGGATGTCTTGGCTGGAGTATGACGAGACACTGGCAGCTATCTCCTTCCATCACTGAATCAACGTGCCGTGTTCGCCGTCGTAAGGCTCAACGCGAACAACCTCGCGTAACAACGCAAGGTCCAAATCGTCCGTCCACTTTAACTGTGCTTGGTTAGGTTTACCCATGTCAAAAGTGCAAATGCAATACCTAGTTGAGCAGTTGGAACGAAGCTATATGATTCGCTGAAGAAGTTGGTTGGAGCAGTGCAGACTTCGGCCCCCAAAGTCAACACTTTCAGCGATATCCCGGATCAGATTTCCGACTCATAGATCAATACTCGAAATTCGATCCGAAGTTTTAGTTTGTGAATTTCAAATTTATGACTTGCAAAATGTCTCTACCTGGTAATGAGTTGAATGTCTATGATGTTTAACAGATTTGAAGCTTAACAGATATGCAGCTAAAGATTTGTCGCTGCACATTTGCAGCTACACTTTGTATTGTGCTTTTCACAACTTTTGGCTATTCTGGGACTAAAACCCCTCTTTTAAACATGTACCCACGTAGTATTAGGTTGAGTCTAGCTTCGTTTTAGTAAAACGAAGCACCAACCGTACCACTCTTTTAGTAATTCCATGCTCTAATTAGAGGTGATGTTATGGATCGTATGGGTTTGCTTCAGTGCCAAAGGAATTTTTGGTTGGTTTTCTGAGCAAGGCTTGCTTAACAGGGGCGCTTGTCGATCATACTTCGGCAAACGCGGTGTTTAACAGAGATGATCAGCTTGGACATGCGATGGCGGTGTGTTGTCTTTGTCCAGGTGTATTCAATTGATGTAAACACTGTTTTGGTCTTACTTGGCCTTTCCCATCGGCCCGTCACACGGTTAATTACGCAGTTCATGAAGACGGGGACCGTCGATGCAATGCGCAAGTCATGGAAGAAGAACCGTTGGCCCGTTCAAGTGAACGAATGGATCCTACAGTACACAACACGTCATCCGTGCTTCTACATCGAGGAGCTCCAAGACGCGCTGAAGTTGGAATTCCCCACGCTTGCTAATGTCTCCCAAGCTACCATTTGTCGCGCATTGATGCACCATTTGGGCTTGACTCGCAAAGGTGACATATAAATGAAATACTGTATTCGTTATTGTTACGATGTTTACTTCATAGTGCTTGAAAAGCGAGCTCGCGAAGCGGCAGATTTTGAGCTGCATGACTACTACCGTCGACTCCGCCCATTTTATTCCAACCCCAACCAGTTGGTGTTTGTCGACGAGACATCAAAAGACGGCCGTGATGCCTTGTGGAAGTGGTCGAAGTGGAACACGAAGGCCATTGTCGCACTGCCTTTTTCAGGTGGTCAGCGGGTGTCTGCATTAGCTGCGCTTTCAACTGGCGATTTTTTGTCCTGGGACTATGTTGACGGTATTAATTTATATTAATACGGCAAAATAGCGAAAGTGCATACAGTAACAACATGGATTGGCAGCTGTGAGCTGATATTGTGTACATATATTGATAGGAACGTTCGATCGGGATCGTTTTCACAAGGTTATGACGGATCGTATACTTCCGTACTTAAACCCGTGGCCGTTGCCTCGATCTATCCTGATCATGGATAATGCTAAGATTCATACAGTATGTACAAGGAGCTCCAAGACGCGGTGCTATCAACGGGAGCGTTGTTGTTGTTTTTGGCCCCATACTCCCCACAACTAAATCCGATCGAAGTCGGATTTAGTCTTCTCAAACGGTGGATCAACAAATACCCCATGGCGTTTCGCTTTGATATTCGTGCGACCTTGGACGTTGCCTTTGTTGAGTGCACTAATCAGCGCGACGACGTTAGATACAACCTCTATCGACATTGCGGATACAACACCGACGATCGCGACAAAGGCACTTTTCAAATGTCTGAGCTGTAGATTTTAGAAATACAACTTCAATTTTACGTTATTCTATTAATTGATAAATTAACAAAGTAGTTTGAGGATTACATATATTCCTCATTAGCATGGTCAACATCGTCTATATTAACACGAGGTGCATGTGTACCTACTAGAGGCTCACGAACTGCAGGCATAAAGGGGTACGATGGTAGGCCAATAATGTTTCTGAGGTCACTGACACAAAAAAACAGTCAAGTGGCGCGCTGTCCAGCGATCCAATCCGAATGTGCACGCAGCGGTAAGCTTCAGCTTCTCCCTGATGTGGTCTTTGTGTACACATCCAATGGTACGTGCGGTCCCCATTGAAGCTTGTCGCGGTTCGGAGTGGAATGTTGGGTTGCAACTATGTTGTCGACGATGTCAAAGACTGTCGCAGTCATTATATTGAACGTATCAATTGGTCGCATTGAAAACAGGACTGCGTCGCCCACTGATGTCCTGCTCTTGCCTAGTGCCCGGCCAACCTTCACTGATACGCTGCAGTGAAATACATCGGGCAGAGGCAGCCTCGCGACGTCACTGACCACCAACGACATTTTTGTTATGATGATTCGTGGTGTTTTGTAAAACAACGACGTTTTATTTCACCCAATGACAGACCGTTCGATATGCTTCGTTTTAGAGCAAGTGCAACCTTGCTATATATAAAACGTTCAATCGTTAAAGCTGCTAACAGTAAATCCACTGGCAGAAATGTTGAAAAGTACAATACATACAACCTGAAGCTACAGTCACTTAGGCACATCATATATTGAGCTTCGAGGACGTAAACTATCGAAGTTATTCTTGTACTAACCGAGCGAAAGAAGTGTCGCATTGTCGAACGAATATACTTCGAGAGTACCCGTACTTCTGCTGAGTCAGGGAACATCGATGAATAGCTCCGCAACAAAGCGTTTTGATTGGCCACATACCCATATAATGTGGCCAATGGTATTGTGCTTTTCACATATTTTGCCCGTTGTTTTAGCTCCTAAAACCATCCAAAGTTTAATCTAAACTGAAGTTGCACTCGACGTAAAAGTAAGCTTCCCCATCGTTCTGTCATTGGCTGATCTAAAACTTGCGTTGTTTTACTAAAA